ACTTGGCAAAAATTGCTTAAAGTGAAGCTAGGGGTGGGAGAACCCCACTGCATTCCTTAGCAAGGGATAGCTCACACACTTAATATTTCCAAGCTAGGAAACACAGGGTCTTCCCATTCCCACCCAGAATAAAACAGAAAAAACACAAATTAAGATGCACTGTAAAGCCTTTTGAGACAATTCACAGGTGGGATTCTCCCTGAGCCTTCTCTTCTCCAGGATGAATAATCACAGCTCCCTTGGCCTCTCGACAAGAGATGCTCCTGTACCTTAGTTGTCCTTTCAATGGACTCTCTATGGTACCTCCATGTCTTTCTTGTACTGGGGAACCCAAAACTCAACACAAGATGCCAGGTGTGGCCTCACCAGTGCCACATGCAGTGGAAGGATCACCTCCCTCAGCTCACTGACACTCCTGTGTCAAATGGGGCCCATTCTCTACCTATGCCACAAGGACACTTTGTTGGTTCGTGTTCAGCTTGGTGTCCACCAGGTCCTTTCCAGCTGCATGGCCCCCACTATACATTGGTGGACTGATTTGTTCTTCCCCAAGTGCAGGATTTTGCCCTTGTAAACTGCATGAAACTCCTATCAGCCCATTTCTCCTAGCAATAATGGGAAAATACTTGTGATGATTATCTTCCCCTACTGCCCCAACTCCTTCAAAATAATGCTGAGAGATGCAGCCTCTCCCCTGGTTCACTGGCACTCCTCACCCAGGAGACCAGATGAGAACACTTCAACTTAAAATTGACTTTGCAAAAGGATCACAGAGACACCCCATGCTCCCCAATAAGTACACTGAAACAACAAGATTGCTTCTCATGGTGACAGTGCTGGCTTAATATTTGTGAAACTATGACCCAAGATGATGCCAAAACTAGTTAAGCTTCTCCAATTACACAAGAAGTCCCAGAATTTCCAGCAGGTGAGAGACTTATGTGGAAGGAGGGATTTAAGCTATAGATGCACAATATTTAAGCATTCCTGAATTAAAGCATCTCTGAAAATTAGGGATACTCCAAGAGTGGAAAAATTATGCTGCTGATTTGGAGCTCCATTTTACTACTGGAGTAAATGAGCAAGAAGAGCTGCAGCATGAAGCTTTGTACAAGAACTCTGTTCAATTTCCAGCTAACAGCTTCACTGATGCATGAAAGCAAAGCAGAGTCCAACTTCAAAGGTTGAAGACTGGCATGAATTAAGTGTCCCTGAAGCCAACCACAGTACAGACTACAGACGCAGGCAGACACCCCAAATGGACAGTGTTATTTTCACTTGAACTTCAGTTACTTGAAGAATAAACAAATCTTTACCCTCTCCTTTCCCCATAAAACCCTCACACTTCTATTAACTGTGTCAGCAGGCTGATGGACAATGTTTTCTATAATCTTTTCATGGCATTGCCCACCACGCCAAAAGCTGGAAAAATGGATCATACATTCTGAGGAACCTGGATTTAGACCTAAAAGCTAACAGCTCCATACTTGGATCATTCCAGCCTCACCAGAGATGGACCACAAAGAACCCATTCATGTATCAGAATACCAGCATGACTAAGACGTGCTTTCAGATGGAGCTGATTTCATTTCATGGTTTTCCAGCTGGTCAGTTCACCTGGCAGAAGTTCAGGTGAGTGAGAAAGGCACTTGTTACCAGGAAGCATGAAACAATTTTGGCAGCCTAGTACTTTCTTCTTATCTGAGCCACAATGGCACCCAGCGTGGCTGATGTAAGAGATTGCTATCGTAAGTCATGGTTGCAAAAGTAACTCATTCACCTTAGAGGACTAAACCATGGCTTTTCATACAGGAAACAAACCCAGTTTACACACAATTTGTCAATCTTGTGCACACAGCAGAACCTCTTTTGTGCTTACTCTAACATGACAACAGCACTACACTGGTAAGGCAGCAAACCAAAGTACACTTAGGACACATTATATCCACACATAAAAGCTGGAATTGCATTTTAAACAGCAAGTTAGGTCAGCAATACATAAACTGTTGGGCTCTACACAACATTTCCTAACCAAGGAGTTGAAACCTTTACATGTTTTACTGTAATCTGAAATAACTCAAACACTGCTTGAACACTCCCCCCCATTAAAATTTAATACATGTCACGGCCCAGAGGTTCAGATGAGACAGTTTTCAATTAAGTAACACTACTGAGCCATGTCCCTGATGAAAATACCAGGGAAGCTGTGCATACAACCCAGGTTTTTAAATGAAAATGGATGTGTAAAGGTGTGCATGCATACCATCTAACAGCTTTAAGGTTCTTTTTGTAACAACTCCAGTTATAAATCTCAGGGCTCTGAAGAAGTGTACTTGCCTCCAGCCTGAAGGACTGTCCATCCCCAGTATTGCCAGTCATTTTATAATTCTTCATCTCAGTTGTGTTTGTGATTCCTTTAATCAAATTAAATTCCTCAGGAACATGTTTTCTATTTTGAAAGGTGCCACTGTCCTTCAAAGTGGCACAGACTTTGCAGTATTTTTCACAAGTTCTTGCGATACAACCAACTACGATTCATTGGGAAACCCTTTGTATCAAACGCTATGCTTCTTATACTATCTTTCCCCCAAGCCAGGTGTCACTTACAAAGTTATTTTTAAGACCCTAAAAAGCACTACTGAACAAAAATTAAACCACAGAATAGCTCCTGTCAAATCCAGCACGCCCCAACCCTTGACTTCTTCGCAGGTCTATTTCTTTCTACAGCATCCAGCTTCAACTCATACATTGTATTAATTCATATCCAAGGGAGACACGCTTGGTTACAATATCACACACTTTGTATCAAGGCACTTTGCAAATTAAAATTGTGCTCAGATACTCTGAATGCACCATCCCCAATCTCTCTGTAGCCTAATTCATTGTACTTCAATATGTGGAAGCCAGAGGTGCTCTTACAACTTCAACACGTGGGGAGAAACCATCAGCAACCAAACAATGCTCAAAAAGTTCCTCTGTAACTCCTGTGCCAAAGAAGAGTCAGGAGCATCCCCCACATTCACCTAAGAAGAGCTGAGGTGGAGAACAGCTGGAGTAGCTCAGCCAGAAGAACACATTCACTAAATCTTTGCCTTCTTGTTCCCAAGATGTCTTTGACATTTCAGGGTACTAAACTTCAGCTGCAAACGAGAGTCCACACTGCACACGGCAGGCGTGGGCCAGGCACATGGCACAGGGCCACTCCAGAGACAGTCCCTTCAGCGTGTCCCTGGCCAGCTCCTCAGAACACTGCTTCAAACACCAGGAATCAAAGCAGCAAAGCCACTATCAAAAACTTACATCCTAATTATCCCTTTGCAGCTGTCAGACTCCCCCAGGATCCACCACCATTTTTCACCTACTCCGTTAAAATCTTCCCATGTATCCATAACCTAAGGGAATAAGTAAGTCTCTAAGGGAATAAGTGATTTCCAAACACTTCAAAATTTGCAATGTTCTTGTACTGTTTCACACACCTGATGTGATTTTGTGAATCACATCAAAAATTATGCTCACAACACGAGCATTTAAATTAAAAATTATGCTCACAACACGAGCATTTTTCTAAGCTTATTTCCCATTCAGTGGCAAACATATTTTCAGTTGTCAAATGTACTTCATCCCAAAATGTACCTATGAGTTATTGTTACGGTATTAATTGAAAATCAAACATTAAAGGTTCTAAATCTTTCTAATAATAAGCATTTACCCATAAGAAGTTTCTTCCTTCCCATTTGTCTGATTACTGCACACAATTCAAGAGCACTGAGCAAGGCTCTGCAGTTGGTTGAAGTGCTGCATAACACGGTCATATAAATAAGATGGTCCCAATGACTTGTATATGAAAAGTAAAGCTAAAATCATGCCTCTAAAACAAGCTGGTACATCACCTGACTTCTGGATGCTTAACTGTGCCATCATTATCTCTGCTAGAAGTGTTTAATAATTGCATGTCTAGATGAAGTCTAATAGAAGTCCAAGCTGTTATGTGAAAAGCAAAAACACAGTTTTGTGATTTTTGTACTTATGGACAGAAACTCAACACATCACTACTCCCTTTTTCTTTGCCTTACTTCTAATTTTTCCCTATAGACTTCCCTGGACAATGGGCATCATGTGCCACAGCTGTACCTAACTATAGCTATGTGAATGGGCTCAGCTCATTTGTGCTGCCACAGGGAGCTGCATTTTAGGTGCCCTGCCCTCAATGCGAGCAGCACCTGTGAGTTACAAACACTTCTGTGTCTGTCACTGTTGATTCCCATAAACTCTCCAACTCTCTGAAGCCTCTCCTGCTGGAAAATTTGACTGAAATCGGCCAGAGAGCTGAAATTAGCAAGCAGACAAGGAATAGACAGACACATCCATCAGACTTCCTTCCTTCGGAGACCAGGCTTACAGCACGTCCAACGAGAAACGTTAGCTACGAGTGACCGAATTCTAAGCCAGAAGCTGTCCCTGGAGGCTCATCACCCATTGCCTGAGGTGTCTGACACCGCGGGGGTGTCACTGGACTCGAGCACGAACACCCCGCGTCCCGGATCACGCCGGCCCGCGGCGCAGCGCCCGCCTCCCGCTGCCTCCGAAGCGAACTCGCCGAGCGGCGGCTCCCGCTCGATCCTCTCGCAGCACCAAGACCGCAGGGCGGTGAAACCCCGCCGCTCCCAAGCCTGCACCGCTGCTCCCCCGACTTTCCCTCAGCGCAGCCCAGGCACGGGCAGCCCCCGCGGCCGCGCAACTCCGGGGCAGCGGAGCCCGGGGCCGCACCGCTACGGGCCGCCCGCGCTCTGCGGCTGCACCCGGCCTGTCCCGGCCCCGCAGCCCCTGCCCGGGCCGGGCCGGGCACACCGGGGCCGGACAAAGGGGCACCGGCCCCACCGGCATCCCGGGGCGAGCGCGGCCCCGGCCCAGCGCGACGCCCCGGCCCCGCCGCCGCGGCAGCTCCGGGTCCATCTCCTCCCGCTGCCGCTCCCGCCCCCGGTCCCGCCGCCGGCACTCACGGTCGGGCCGGGCGCGCTGCGCGGCGGCCCCAGCGCCGGGACCATCCTCCGCCGGGCGGACACCCCGCGCCAGCCCCGCCGCCGCCTCCGCGCCACTGCCCGCCCGCGCAGCCCACCCTGCTGCTCGCGCCGCAGCCAATCGCCGCGCGCGGGGAGAGCCCTCGCGGCCAATCAACAAGGGCCAGGCCGGAGAGGGCGTCGCTCGCCCTTAACTGGGCGGGGCGGAGCGGGAGTGCGCCAATGGGCGCCACAAACACTGGCGGCACGGACCAATCAGAGGGCAGGGAGGCAGAGACTGGCGTCAACAAGGTAAGGTGGCCGAAACAGGAACTGGCAGGGAGCGGCGTCCCGGGCGGCCAATGAGCGCAGCGGGAAGAGGCGCGCGGAGGGGCGGGCGGCAGCTCTTAAAGGGACAGCGGCCGCGCCGGGACGGGAAAGGTTGCGGCGTTGGGTCGGTTCCGAGCGGCACCGGGGAAGGGACCGCGTGTGAGAAAGGAAAGGGCCGCGTGTTATTTTGCGTGTGTCGCTGTCAGATGAAAGAATCCCCTCCTGCCAGGGCGAGAATGACCCGAGCGCTGCCCTTCGCCGACCTCAGCCGGGGTGTGTGAGAGCCTCGCGGCGCGGCACCGCGTTCGTGCGCCCGAGCGCTGCCCGCGCCCTCGGCAGCCGCGCTCTGCGACGGAGCGGCGGGCAGAGATAAAGGCTGGCTAAAGATCTGCTACGTGGAGCTGTCCACGAGGAGCCAGCCACGTCCTGTGACTGTTCTGTGCCGTGACTGATGCTTTAATCGACGTCTTTCCTTAATTTTGTCACACGCTCTGCCCATGCTTATTTCCGGGGAAGAAGGCACTCATCCATCTTCCTCATGAGTTAAATCGGAGTTTAGGAAAAGTGTTGCTCTATCCACGAAATGAGAGACTGTGGATCATTAACAACTCCCTACTACCTCACTTTTTGCTTCCTGCTAATGCTTAATTCAGTTATCATCCATAATAAGGCAGCTTCCCAGTTCCAGCTCAGCTCCCTGAGAAAGCATCTTGTATCCGTATGCCTTCTTAAAACATAATAGAGCAGGGACAAGTTTCTGACGCAGTGTCCAAGAACTCTGCTGCTGCTGAAATGAGTCATAGCAGCAATCAGATGTTAAATAACCCAAAGCATTTTGTTTTGAATAGCTGCCACTTGCAAAATAACCTTGCGGCTGACATTCAGTGAAAAGCCCATTTGCGAGCTGTGAAGAAAATTGAGGCCCAAGCTGTTTTTGCAGAGGAATTCTAACATTACTATAAATACCAGCTTGAAAGTGTAAAGTAGGAATGTAAATGCACTTTTTTTGCTTTTCATCATCTTTGGTTCTGATATGACACAACCAAACTGGAAGACAAGCGAAACCTGAAATGCCACTGCTCCATCAATTTATTCCAATATAAATTGAGGGGGGAGCTTTCTCTTCTGAAGGGTAGTGTGCATTTTGGTGAAGATTTTCACTAAATAGCCACCCCCATCCAAAGCAGTGGAACCAAGTTTACCTTCTGACACTCTTGTGATCTACAGTGTTTGAGTTCATAAGTGGTCAATACCAGAACAGGGTTAAATATCTGAAACACTGTGGCAAAAATCCCCAGGTGAAATCGCATACAACAGGATCCTACCTGTTTCTTTTGGAAAATATAAATGTACAATTATATGGCAAGATGGTTAAAAAAATGAAGTGCTTTTGTACAAATACTTGTAAGGAAAGCTTTACACTGAATAGATAATTTGCTGTTCTTTTGAATCAAGAAGTTCTGCAGCTTTATTTCAGATAATCAACAACTTGAGTGCAATTTTTTTGACCTTTTTAAAAAAATTATTTAAATTCTCGGCTGTAGTGCAGGTTTGGGTTCAATAATTCAGTGAGCAGTACTGGCCTAAGTCTGTATGATGTGATAGAGCAGCTGACAGGCAACCAGAACACAGGTCAGCGCATCTTTCCCCGTGCAGGAGTTTCTTGGACTGTGGGTCATGTACATTCAAGGGAGTGAAAGAAAGCTGGCAACTCAGCAGTTTAGAGAGCTTCAGCTGGTGGTGCCACAATGCCTTCAGGCAGAATGGCAGCAAAGCTGAATGCTTTTACAGTGTTAAAGCACTGAGGAGCAGGGAAGAAGGCAGAATGAAAAGAGAGGGATAGAGTAACCATTCCATTATCTGTTTGAATTGATGCCTCTTTAGGGGCAAGAGAAAAGAACAGGAGGCAGGACACTTGTCCCTTACAAAGCATCTGGATTAGATGGGCTGAATAGACTTAGAGAACCCCTATGGAAGGGAAATTAATACTGCCAGAAGCACATGACAATGCTCATCTGACAAGATTGGTTCGGTAGATTCTCAAAAGGACTTCACGTAAGAGCTTTTGGACAGGGATTTTTTAAAGTAATCTAAGATACTGCAGGATCAGAGGATAATGTCCTCACAGGGACAGAGAACTGATGAAAAGACAGAATAATCCCAGTGTTCCACATGAAGTGAATAACTTACCACTCTCACTCGATCCTGGTGCGGTAACTGTTCTTGAAGTAGTTGTACCAGTAACAAATTAGAGATAACAGCACACCCTGAGTGATTACAGAGGTGCCATAAATGCCCATGTTTTGAATGCAGTGAGGGGAATGGGAGTGCCTGTAGAACCAGCACAGCTTTGGGAAAGCACAACATAAATGATCAGGAGTCCCTGCTAGCTTCCCTGTAAAGGACATCTCAGTTGTCTAGTATTGTACAGGTTGTTCTAAGAAGCAACTGGAATGAGGAAGGAGAAGGGAAGAAACACAAACCAATAAAAGCCCAATGCTTTGGAGAACAGCTGCAGCAGTTTAAGTACAGCAAAGGTTTTCCAGTCTCTGCAGCTGCTGGTGAGGCTGAAGTGATGAAGGCTGTACTTCTGGTAGCAGTTCACTTCCAGCTGTGCCTTCCAGGCCCTCCAGCAGAGGTCAGGGAAGACAGCTGGAAACAGCCACTCAAGACTACAGACAAGTTTCAGAGCGTGAGCTTTGCTTTTGCACCATTTTTCTAATGAATGCAGCAACTCCACTGATATCAACTCTGTTGATAAAGCAGTTTCCAGAGGAACTGAAATAAGTGAATAGAATACACTCTAGGACATTTAGGGAAACTCTTTTCCTCCAGAACCTGGGCCAGAGTGCAACTCCCATCACTTCATAAATGGCACTTCAAAGCAGAAGAGGAGCACAGTGAAATTACAGACAAAAAACAGCTTTAACAGAAGAGACTGGAATTCTTAAGAAGAGAGATGAGTTTTACTTAAATACCTTTTTGGGAAAAGTCAGTATGGAAGAGTATGTGCTCTATGTTAAGACCAGTCACTTTTACAAGTATGGACCATAGGTTTTCAAAGACTGCGGTCAAGATTTGCAATAACTAGCAGCTAATTTGGATACTTTGAACTTTTTAACCTCTAAACCCCAAACCAGAGTTCTTGACACCTGGTCTGTTTGTTTACAAACTCCTCACTAATCAATCAAAAATATTCCAGAACAGTTCGTCTTCTCCTCCCTCCTACCCCACAAGACAGGATTTCTGAGGAAAGGCTCATTACTTCAGGGAAAATAAACAAACAGATCTCACTCTGCACAGTTGTCAGACACCTGTGACATTCATCCTAGCAACCCAACACACAGTTCATGTTAGAAATCTTCTGAGTTACACAGTTTATGAAACATCTGAGGAATAGTCTATATCTGATTTCCAAAGGAAACAGCTGGACAGCAAAAAAATGCACATGACAAGTTGTAAATGACATAACTCAAATAGTGCACGTTTATTCTGAACGGTATTTCTAAGGAGTTTGAGAAAAACAAAAACATGCTCCTGATGTACAACAAGGGCAATGATATAGATTAAAAATGGACCATCTTATTGTAAAGAATTTGCTCCCCCTGCAACTTAACTTGTAACATTGAGAATGCATCTGTAAACTGCATACAGCATACCTTTCACTAAATCTCAACTCAAGAGACCAGTGGTGGTCTTAGCCAAATTAATCAGGAAGCAGTTGCAGATTCAAAAGAAACATCCAAGTCAGCAAACACTTTACAAAACACAGACATTGTGCATAGCAGCTGACCCTGGATTACAACACGGGGGAGAATAAAACAATTTGGGGGATCAAATTTTTACTAGACACAGGGCACCATCAAGATTTAACTAAATATCATGTAAGTTTGTTTCAATTGTAACAGTATGTCATATTTAGTTGGCAGGTTTAACCATTAGCTGCATCATGTAAACTCAGCCAGTTTCTGTATACACTAAATACATTCTTCCCCCTTACCCCTCCCAAAAATGAGGGATCTCTCTTCTGGATGATTCTTTTGCTCCTGTACCATGGTTTCCTCAAGTAGGAGTCTTTTTGTAGGTAATATTTCATACTTCAACCGATGTGTGACAAAGCCAGTTGCAGAGATTCAGGAGTAACTTTTATATACACAATTTACACTCTAAAGCTGTTAGTTGCATACTTTTTCTTGCTAGATCTTCATCCAGAACAGGAGGTGCTGGTGATTTTTTTTCTCCCACTGAAACTCCCAACTTTGGAAAAACTGAGTTGTTCACAAGCTGTTAATTTCAAACTAGAAGGATGTCCTCCTGCAGCAACAATCAAAGTAACTGAAGTCCTCTGCAGTAAGCCCATACTTCACACAACTTCAGTGTCTCCAGGTAACAGCACTAAGATACAGACAGCACTCTCCTCCCTCACTCAACACAACTGGCAGACTAATAAAATACAAATGTTTGTCATCCAGAACTACTGACCTTCACTTGCCCTTACCCATGTACAGGGAACACAGTTTTCTTAAGATTCAGATAAAACCTTGTACTCAAGATTCAACAACTGTTTTCCAGGATTAATAGCCTGGGAAAAGGAGTCTTAGATTTATTCTCTCTTCCACCTCCTACTAAACATTTTGTTAGAAGTTACAATGAGGCAGGTCTGCTGTGGAATAGGAGCTTTAAGAATTGTTCTCATGGATACATTCATAGAATGATGGCAGCCCAAAGCAAAAAGAGACAGAAACAAAGGTTAATCCAAGTAAGTTCAGACATC